GCCTTTGTGCCTCCCGGGCCCGCACGCCCCGCGGCGCGGCCGCCTTCTGCAAGGATCACCCCTGCTGCGGCGCCATACCTGGCCCTTTGTCACCAGCTGCCAAAGAATTCAGAAAATCAAATTTATTTCCCGATTACAGCCGGGGCGCCCCTTTGTGCAGAGAGGTCTCTTTAACTGTTGAAATTCCAGCAGACATTGTGAAGGCCTTTATGGCGCAAAATAAAAGCCGCCCCCGCTTCTTGCCCCTCGGCCCCGCCGCTCTCAGCTCCTCGGACTTGCAAGGCTCTGTGGGAACTTGGGAGGGAAGTTCTTCTCTCAATAAAAACGCCAAGGAGTCGAGCGCGAGCCCGCAGGCAGGGAGGCGCGAGGGTCTCGCCTGGTCCAGGGCAAATCAATGAGCAGCTTGAGCTCGGGAGGGGTGTTTCCTTGCCGTTTTCCCCTCCTGAGAATGAACAGGTGAATGATAACCCCATTTCTTATCAGTCGAGCCCTGTGCTCAGTTCGCTTGGGCAAGTCCAATTCCGTTCTCTGCGCTTTCGGCGCCATCAGCTCCTCCACCTCGCCTAGGAGGTGGGCTGAGCCGAAAACGCCTCTCCTGTTCTAGATGCTTCTGCACCTGAAGACGAAAAGCTGTTACTGTGATTTTGCTGGATTTCAGACATTTCCCGAAAGGAACAGCAAACATTGCTCTGCAAAGATTTTTCCTTTTCTTTCTTTTCTTTTTCTCCCCTCCTTCTCTTTCCTCCCTTCCCTGTTCTCTCCCTGCCTTCTTTCTTTTTCTGGTGACGGTGCAGGGAAATAAATTTGTTCAAGTATTTTTAAGACCAGCCATAAAAGGTAAAAGGCACTGTGGAGTGGGCACACGCTCCTGACACCCACTCGTAAAGTCATGGCCAGGAGAGGGGGTGCCCCAGCCCACTGACTTCATGTGAAACAGTTACAACCACATGAGGGGCCAGCCTGTGGCACAGAGGTCACGGGCTGGGCTAGAGACGCTGGCTCCCTCATTTCCACTGGGGTCCGGATCCCTGATCATTCCGGGGACACGGCAAAGTGCCCCTGATTCCAGGAGTCAGAAGGCGGGGGCCTGGAGCAAAGGGATGGCAGTGTGACCAGACCCGCGGGGGTGCTGCTCTCACTCGCTCTTTCGCACACACACTCACATGCTCTATCATGAATGAAGGAGAACTTTTTAAACATCCTAACTGGTAATCTCATTGTAACAATATATAGTCACGGAAAAAAAGAAACCCGAAGTAGGTGGACTCAGTCTCTTACTGTAAATGACACACGTTGCAAAGCTTTGACGAACCTTTAAAGATACTGACAATACATAACATTTCCTCTGCCTGCTTTTCTCTCTTCCTCGTGAGAATTCGGAGATGCCACGGGCCGTTCTGTGACTAGCCAGTGCCACGTTCGCTAAAAAACGGCTCTCCCTCTTTATACACATCTGTGTGTCTCCTCACGCACACACGCTTGACCCACTCGGCTTCCCCATCATTTCACAAGAGAGTGACTCCAATGTGTTCTGCCTTGCAGGGAGCCGGTGGGCATGGCCGCGAACCGGATACCTACACCAGAGAAGCCTGCGAGGCGTAATCAAATAAGGGGACCACTTGAGCTGCACTCCCAGCAGGAGCGGGAGGGAGGCCTTGAGAGGTTACACGGACTTTTCATCGCGCCTCGCAGGAGAGCACCAACTTCCTGCTGCTAGAAATTTGTCTGCAAATTTTTTCCTCATTCAGACGGAGAGCTGGGGTCCGGGAGACACTGGGTCGATGGGATAACTTGATTAAGTCCGGGGACAGATGACACGGGAGCACCAAGTCGACTCAAAGGAACCTGCTCTCCTCTTTAACCTCTCCTTGGGAGCCTACAAACGATACATATTCCTGCATCAGCCCCGGCCTCGCACACGCTGTCTGCTTAAATGTTTGTCAGTCATTTGCAGGGGCTTCGTGGCATTTCTACCGCATCTTCACTTCTCTTCTCCATTTAAAAAAAAAGAAGAAGGAGAAAGCTTAACCTGATGTGTCGCTCAGACAAAGGCTCGGAGCCCGAGTCCTCCTGCTGA